GACAGATCATTACCGGTTTCTGCTGCTGGTGCTGTGAGGCAGAGAATAATCACAAATAAAGTTATAACAAATCAGTGTTCTTACCAGGAATTTGCCTTGGGGGGTCCCATAATCCATTCTTGACTAGGGTACAAAAAAAATCAACAGGGTGCCAAGATCGTAATCAAACTGGAACATTGCGATTCTTCATATATGTATTTTGATGCAAAGTCAAGAGAGGCAATTACAAATTCAAAGAAACTGAACATAAGTAGTTTTGCACATATATGGTAGTCTAATTTTTAATTTCTTTGGTATTGAAAACAGCTCACCAAATTGGGGACCTTTATGTCATTTTAGTCACCTTATTTCCTTTCACTCACTCTTGGTGACCAAAATGGTCCCAGCTTGGAGCCTTGCCCTAACAGTTTGCCAGTATCAAGATCATTGTCAGAGATAGTGCCAATCCTAAAACCACTTGGGCTGCCACTAACTGGAGTTCAGGGTACTAATCATTTGTGCATTTCACACAACAAAAGTTATGTACTATACTATATCCTTAATTCCTTTACCATTTTCACTGGCAGCTCCACCACCAGATGTCTTTGCAGCCTCAAAAGCCGTCCCTCTGACAGTGAATATCTTTATGTTATCATTACATTTACAAGTCATAACAGCATTGCCTGGAAAAAATAATTACANTTTTTTGTGGCCCATTTATTTACCTTAATGGTCCAAAATTTTTGTAAATGGCCCATAACTTTCCAATGCCATGGGCCATAGGCTCATTTGCTTGTTTTGCCTTCCCGATCCCTGTACCCTTAACAAGCACACCCTTTACAAAGGCTATCTGTAGCCTTGTGAGATGGCTTTTGAACACAAAAACTACTTAGTACAATCCTGAACAGAACTTGTCGTAAGAAACAAGACAAGAAAATGAGCAATCATTTGAAGCTTTCCAAACATCAATTGATGCTTAAATTCATTTGATGCTTGTGTCTTGAAATTTTGTCCAAGATTGTAAAATCTTGATAAGAAGCTTTTTTCCCACCAAAACTTGCACTCAGTAAATGAACTTGACCAGGCTGTTTGGCTTACTTTTATTATAACTATTTAGTACCCAAGCAGTTAAGTTGCATCCTCTCTTAGGTTCTCCATGAAACCAAAACCATACTTCCCACTGGTTATTATCAGGAAGCCTATTCTCATCTAGGTACATGTATTCATAAATTTGTGATATAAAATCAAAATCTCATAACTCATGCAAAAATTATATTCTAATCAGTTCTTTTGTCACCTGCATAAATTGTCCTGACAAATGTATCCTCTGACTGAATCTCTATGACATCCTGCAGAGGTGCAACATCCAAAAGTGCAGCTACACGAGGAAGCACATTCTACAAGAAGGTCCATAATTTGGTTATAAACAAAGTGAGTTTTACTTGAAATAACATAACCTTCCGTTTGTAACATTGTAAAAACAAAGATAGAGAAAGATAGTTCAAAAAGCTCACTACACATATATGTACTGGTAGTTTACTGTCTGATAACTTTGAGGAACTAGTAAGGTTAAATAAAGAAAAAATATTAAGTACAGTACCTTTCCCATAGCTGTTGAACCAGCAGTTATGTGAGAGAAGTTGAATTGCTTTTGGGTTCCAACAATCAGTGGAGCTAGGACCTCTGTCCAAAGCAAAAATTGAGTTTTAGATTAGAACTGTATTACAAGCTATATCTTAAATTCTGCACAATTTCACAAATTGATGTCAGGTTTTCATACGTCCGTCCTATTATTGATCATAAATTTTGCCATACCATTGCCAAAGTACTGTAGCTCTGGATCCACTGAGGTGATAGCCAAGTGGATCTGCAGACTACTTTGACATTCATTGTCAATAGCAGGACAGACTAAAGAAAAA